GGTGAAGTGGAAAGGCAGCAAAGGAGGGGAAGGCCCTCAAGGAGATAGATTGCCACGGTGGGTATATCAATGTGCTCTTGCATAGTAACAATTATGCGGATGGTAGAGGACCATGCAATGTTTTGTTCTATTATGCATAGGGTCACTATGGGTCAGAGCCAGCTCGATGGCACCTAACAACAACATGTCCTTTGTCCTCCCCTATTCTGGACTGATGGACCAACAAAAGACTCCTCCTGTCTGTCATTAACACAAAGCCTTTGACAAAAATTTTCCCACAAGTGACTGTTTATGTTTATATCTTTTGCTGAAAGAGCCAAACCGCTACCAACTCTGTATATAAGCACAAATCGTGCATGGCTTTTGGGATTTGGTCAGACAAAGCTTTGATGGTATGTCAGTCTGGCTCCCATTTCTCTGTTCTCTCTCCTGAATATTATGATCCTGTGATGATTTTCCCTTAGGACAGAAAAAGATCAAGCTTTCTAGTCCCGTAAAGAATTATAGTCTCTGACACTGACAGGGGCAGTCTATCCTATCCTATAGGGTCGATACAGTCAGAATTGATTTGATGGCAGTGACTTTTATTTGAGTTTGAGGGAGTAAGCTTTGAGCTGCTCCTGCTAACCATAAGACTGGTGGTTCAGAGTCATCAGCTGCCCCACTGGAGGAGTGTGACTGTAAAGATCTCCAGTCTCAGAGACCTTATGAGACAGTTCTCTTCTATCTGGCAGGGTTGCTATGAGTTGGAATTCTTGGGTAGCGAGATTTAGAAACAGGGGGTTGTCCCTCCGATTCCTGAAAAGGCCCCTATAAAGGAGCTTGGGGTAGAAATCAGGCAACTATTAGACACCTATAAAGACCCCAAACTGAGCATGATCCTATTCAAGCCCCCATGCTAGGTAGGAGGTATACCTGGGCAGTCCAAACTAGGCCCAGGCTCATGACATCACCCTGGTGGACTCAACCCAGCCAATAGGGTCAACCAATACCATCAACCATGCCTCCCCAGCAGAGGCTTGAAATATACTGGCTGTGAGAAGGCTGCTCTCTTGTACCTGGCTCCTAGCGGCAGGGGAGGGGGGAGGGTCAGCGCCACCAGAAGTCAGTCTTGACTTGATGACTCTGGGTTTTTTGGTTTGTTTTGTTGTTTTGAGGGGGGCAGATGGTTCGATAAAATGCAGGCCAAACCTCTCAAAGAATGCAATAAATCTGTTTGCATATGTTTGAACAATCTCTAAGATCATAGAAAAAGAAATCGTGGTGTGACCACCTGTCTTAAAAACAGGTAGACTGATGAGATCAATCTGCATAGACCCTCATTCTCAGCTTCACGCTAGTTATCCTTGTAACTTGGCCAGCAGTGAGGGCAGAGGGGGAAAAAAACATTCACTTGACATTTTGTGTCTTCCAGCATTACCCAAAGTGCTCAATATGTTTACCCAACACTGACTCTAGGGAAGGATAGTGATGTCTTTAGGGAGCCAACAGGAGTGAAGACCTTCAGTCTGTAGACTGGCTTTGCCTTGAGAAGTTATGGTCACTGATCAGAACCTCAGGATTAACAGCTAGCTCACTGTATTTACATCCATGGGTCAGGATCGAGCATGCTAATGAGCACTGTGTGGTCTTGGTTAGAGTAGGAGTCACAAATGTGGGGAGATCATATGGTCTCTTCTGCGAGTCTTAGTCCAACTCTTTTGAATCCTAGTGGGAAAGTAACAGTGCAATTGTCACAACACAATTCCTTCTCCCTTAGTGCTGCTGCACCAAAAGTTGAGAACAAAATCATAGATGGCCTTTGAAATTGCCTTTTGTGCAAGGGATTCTGGACACAAAGAGGAGCCTGGGAAACTGTAACAATGGCTTGTATGCCACAGGTCTCACCTCTGATTTCACAAGGGGGAAGGACAATCAAAGTCATCATCAGCCCAACACCAGTTCCTGAGACTGAGGACAGACATGTCTCCAACCTTGGCCCTTCTTCACCAGTTGTGACATCCACCAATACTCCCTTGCACTCTCGACTGCTCTGCAATAATTCATTGCCATGGCCACACAGAACTCAAAGGCAATACTCATGATTATGAGGTTTCGTTAGACAGTTAACAATTTACAATTTTTGTCAAACACTGGCTCGAGAGAAGGATGATGTATTTGAGAAAACAATGGGATCTAAGGCATTCAACATGTTGACAGGCTTTGCTTTGAGAAGCTGTCGTCACTGATAAGGACCTCAGGTTTAACAGCCAGCTCACTGTATTTACCAGTTAGGATCAGAAATGCTCACAATCAGGAGGGCCTCTTCCCAGCTATGCCCATAGGCAGGACTCTCTGATCCTTAGCCTCTGCTCTGTTCTGGCAATGTTACGAAGTTCCTTTAACACAGCTGATAAATGCCCAATCATTCCACCATAAGTCTTAGCTTCAGGCACTCCACAATAGCTCTGTGGCTCAGTAAACCTAACTCACTTGGTACCTAAAGATACCCCATTCTGAAGGCACTAAGCTATACTAACTTCAAAGGCCAGAAGTCTACTTCTCTGACTCTTGTAGCTAGTCACAGCTGTGTTTCTTGTATTGAGGAGGTTGAGTGTCACAGAGATTCCCTGATCTAATGAATGGGGCCTATCCCTGGCTTTTCTTCTTTGGTGGTAGTGAAATCCCCATTCCTGTTTCTGAGATGGCTCATTTTATGCTGAGCAAAATGGTCAAATGGACCAGTGCCCACATTAGTGCTCCATACACTCAATCTGTATGGTCCCACCGAGTTGTTTGATGGGAGTTACAAAGACTATGACTAGAAGAGTCAGTATTAAATCATTCACTGAACCACAGACCCACTGTGTGTGTGTGTGTGTGTGTGTGTGTGTGTGTGTGTGTGTTGGCGGGGGTGATGACATAGCAGAGAGGTACTTTTACCCATGTTGTGGCATCTGTAGTTAGATGTTCTCAGCCAGGGGATTTTCCAGGTGCATATGAAAGTCTTGGCTTTGGGAATGTGTCATAATTGAGGGTACAAAGCAAGATGATATGCATGCCACTCAAAGAAATCTTTTCTTATCCCTTCCTCTCTTCCCAGCTCCAACCAGGAGGGTTCTGTGGCTGCCTATGTGGCGGATGAAGAGGAGCAGAAAGATAACAAGCTAAGCAAGAAGGAAGTCAAAAAGAAGAAGAAGAAGTTCATCCTCTTTGAAACCAAATCCATATTGCTGTCAGGTTGATCCCAGTTGGGAGTGACCTCATGTGTATGAGAGTAGAACTGTACTCCATCGGGGTTTCATTGGCTGATTTTTTGGAAGCAGATCACCAGGCCTTTCTTCCAAGACATCTGTGGGTGGACTTTTTATTTAGTATCCGAGTGTGTTAACCATTTGTCTCCCTGTGTTTGTAGCCTGAAACAATTTTGAACAGTGGGAGGAGAGAAGATTTAATAATAAATTAAATTTGGAGGTTAAATGATGAACTTGAACTAGAAAGTTTTATTTTCTAGGATAAGAATTGACTTGATAGCAGTGAGTTTGATTTGGTTTGAGTTCTATTGTGAGCTAAGTTTAGACTTACAGCAAAGTGGCAAATCTAGGACAGAGCGTTCCTATATACACTTTGTCCAGTGTCTCCCTTTGGTGGCATCTTGCATTACATTTGACAAAACTAAAGTACTGGTGTTGATACATTACTTAAAGGCTTTATTTGAATTTTACCAGTCTTTTGGCTAATATCTTCTTTCGGTTCCAGGATTCAATCTGAGGGACCACATTGCCTTTAGTTGTGATGTCTCCGCAGTCTCCTCTGATCTGCAGCAGTTTTTCAAGCTTCCTTGGTTTTTCGGTTCCCTCCCCCCATGACCTTGACCATGTCCTTGACAATCTTGAAGAGTTCTGGCATCCTGTGAAATCCTCCCCTATTTCACGTCCTCTGATGTTTTCCTCATGAATAGACTTGGATGACAGGGATTTTTTATTTTAAACTGAGATTATTTGTGGGTCTAGTAGAGACTTGAGTGGTTTTTTTTCTTCCTTTTAGTTTTTTTTTTCTTCCTTTTACCTACATCCTGAAGTACCTGTTTGAGTTTGCACTTAAGGGTCAGGAGAAAAGGATTCTGCTGAATGGGGGTTGTGGGGGAAGTGAAAAACATTTCTTGCTTCACTCTCTGGAGTTTGACTCTATTATGCTAGTGAAGAAGCCAGCCCAAAGTAACTTAAACCAGAAGGGAATTTACTGGAAAGAAATTGGCATATCTTATGAAGCTGAGGTCCAGAATCTGAGACAGCTTTCTCTTGGTTGCTTCCTTTCTTACTCCACTTTCCCCTCCATTTGTCTGTTTCTTTCTGCCCTTCCTTCCTGCAGGCCAGCCTTCACTGGTTAAGTGGACACAGAGCCAGATTGACCTAGGCTTTCTAAAGGATATCTCTTGAGTATGAGGAATCGACAAATATCGAGTCCAAACTAATGATAACCAGAAGAAACCATCCAATTGGTCCATATTGTGGCAAGAGGCCTCCCTTGGTCCAGTTAGCCATAGACGAGGGTAGTAGTGTCTCACATGACAAAGGGGGCTCCTAAGGCCTTCCCTTGGAAAGAAGGAGCAGGTCTGATAAAAAAAGGAGTGGGCTAGAAGATAGCTGATAAAGGTATATACTCTGAGGGAAAAACAATAGCGAGAAAGATGGGAGTACAAATAGTTAAAGAGCTTGGCTGCCGATCAAAAGGTTGGAGGTCCTCGTTCATCCAGAGATGCTTCAGAGCAAAAGTTTGGGTACATACTTCTGAAAAACCAGCCCTTGTGGGCTCCTGAGAGTGCAGTTGTACTCTGACATCCATGGTCGGTCATGAATCAGAGTCAACTTGACTGATGCATATTGTTCGTGGAGTGAGGGGGTGGTGAGGAATTAAAAGTGACTGAAAATTTCCCACAAACTTTCTGAAACCCTTTCATGTCTGTTTATTATAGTACACTTTAAATTTGACATAATAAAAAGATCTGCAATTAATTGAACCTGTACTTATTTTGTATCAAGTCCTGTCCTAGGTAGGTTAAATGCATCAGCTCACAAAAATCCCATGAGATGTTATTGTTCTCATTTGAGTTATCACAAAACCAAGTCACAAAGAAACTAAGCCCCAAGATCAATATCCAAGCCTTCCTGGCTCTAGAATCTGTACTTTTAATAGTAGTAACTTGACATCAGTAGGGGGACATTGCAGAAAAGATGATGACAATAGCAGGGATTCAGAGATCAGAATGATCTTTGTGAGTAAGAAGACTGAGAGAACTGTCCCAGAAAAGACTACACCAGGGAAATTCCTAGAAGCATCGGTCGGAGTGGGAGAGATTACAGTAAGACTGCAGAAACAGAGACAACAATGTTTGGGGTTGGTAGTTAGGCCAATCTTTAGCATTGGAGGTGGTCTCCATATGCAGACTAAACCCCTGAAGACCCCAAAGATCGATCAGACACGTTCTCTCATTTTAAGCTTCTTATTCCAACCAAGACCAAATAGCAAAGTACTTCAAGCCTAGGTAGTTAACTCTGACCAATAAGGTAGATTCAGCGAACTGACCCTTCTACCCTGGCTGCTATTCAGAACTCAGAACTGCTCGAGGAGAAACCCTGAAGCATAGTTATGGTGGCTTCACTCTTACCACGTCCTCTAATACTTCAGCATCTTTCGGAAAGTGATACCAGGATACAAAAAGTAGTGAGGATCAGCATAAGCACTTTTCATGGATCTTTTTCTTTGTTGAACCTTCAGCGCAACTGAGTTAGATGCTGTCATTATCCCTGCTTCATAGCTAAGGAAATGAGAGAATGCTGGCATTTGTCCAGGCTTACTGAGCCATCCGTCTGGATTCAAACAGAAGCAGTGGACCACTTGGTCTCCACACACCCATTTTGTTTTCCAAAGTTCTTTGCATCCCCATTTTATCTGAAAACAGTTACCTTTCACCTCTGTAGTGAAAATGGCCAGATCCTTCTCCTGTCAAGCACTGGACACTGTCCGTTTCCCAGCTCTATAGTCCTCTTTCCAGCTCTAGGCTAAGCTATGAGAAAGGGTGTGAAACGTGAGTTCACAACTTTCTTGGGGAGGAGATAGAGTTAAAATGGAATTGAAAGGATCTTAGATTTCATTGACGGGTCTCAGGCAGTTGCAACTTGCCCATCGACAGCACATAGTAGAGACCAGAACTCAAATCTCCCAGCGCTTTTCCCCCTGGTCATGGGCTGTATACAAGACAGAAAAATGTCTCTGAGCAAAAGCCTATGAGGAGAACCTGCCCTTCTTCTTGAGCTCATAAAGAACTAGTGTGGAGAGAGCAAGATAAAGCAAGAGAGGGAGCTGCTTTTTCAAGATGGAGTGATTGGTTTGTTTTCTAATAGCATGTGGTGATTGCACACACTTTCACAACTCAGAAAAAGTGAAGAACCCTATAATCTGAACTTCCAGAAAACACCAGTAACAGGCTGGCACTATATATATATATATGCAACTTCTCCTCACTTACCTACCATCTCATTATCTGGTATTTCTCATTCATGACGATAGTGAAAAAATCTCCTCTGTCTGGCAGTAACTGAATACAGAGGGGTGCAAAAAGAATGATGCTAGCTGTGATGGTAAAGGTTATGTGTCAATTTAGGCCATGATCCTCAGGCAATTATGTAATGGTGTACTCATCCTCCATTTTGTGATGTGATGTGTTCATCCTATTATATATATACACACACACATATATATTCTATCTGTTTATCCACATATATAAATACATACGTATACGTAAACATGTGGTCATAGCACACATTTGCACAATACAGAAAAAGTGAAGAATCCTATAATCATAATGGTCAGAAACCACTATTAGCAGGATGACACATATCTCTGAAGGCCATATATAAATAAATATACACACACACACACACATATATATACATATATTATATATAAATATAGAGAAGCACTGGTGGGGCAGTGGTTATGTGTTGGACTGTGAGCCGCGTGGTCAAAGAGTGAAATCACCCAGCAGCAGCTCCGAGGGAGAAAGAATTGGCTTTCTACGCCTGTAAAAGTTACGGTCTTGGAAACCCACAAGGGTTGCTATGAGTCAGCAATGACTCGATGGCTGTGAGTTTGGTTTGGTTTAGTAATATATATATATATGATATACAACATATATATTATATACAACATATGTATATTATATATATACACACACACACAGCAGGCACTCTGGTGGCAAAGTGGGTTAAGTGTTGGTCTATTAACTGCAAGGTCACTGGTCCAAACCCACCACTCCCTCCAAGGAAGAAAGGTGAAGATGTCTATTCCCATCAAGATTCAAGGTCTTGGAAAGCCCAAGAAGCCGTTATACTCTGTTCTATGGGCTTGCTAGGAGATGCAGTGAACTTGCTGGCATGGGCTTCTTGCCTGCTTACCTCCTTAAGTCGTCATCCTTTGGTTATCGATACATGCGGGGTCCTCCTCTACCCTCTTTCACTGATTTTATTGTTGTTGTTAGTGGGCCACCTGAGGCTTTTCAAGGCTGTGGCTTTTCAAACGCAGGATGTCAGCCTGTCTTCAAAGGCACCTCTGGGCAGTCAAGTCTTAACAATTTACACCACCCAACGACTCCTTATTTACTGAAGAACACACTACTCTGTTGGCTTTCATAGCAATGACATACATCTTTTTCTCAGGTTACAATTTGTCATTTAAAATGGCATGTGATATATATATATATATATATGTGCACAGTTCTATTTTTTGTGTAAAAATATTTCATTTATTGATTTAGTTAAAAATAATTTTATTGGCATATAATTCACATATCATATAATCGTTCAATCATATTAAGAAGACTTATGCATTCATCATCATAATCAATTTCAGGACATTTTCTCCTCGCATCCATTGTTATTAGCTCCCTATTTCCCCCCAACCTCCCTTGCCATGTCCCTAAACTCAAACCAAACGAACTGTCATCAAGTCAATTCTGACCCATAGCAATTCTGTCGAATGGGGTAGGATTACCCCCGTGGGTTTCCAGGACTGTAGCTCTTTATGAAAGTAGAAAGCCTCATCTTTCTTTGGTGCGTTTTGAACTTCTGACCTTGCAGGTAGCAGCCCAACACTTAATCACTATGACTCCAGGGCTCCTCCATCATGACCCCAGGCAACCATTAATATAGTTACTGTCCCTATAGGCCCACGCAACCAGGATTCCATACACAGAAAAACATGCCAAAGAACCAAGAAACTGGTAGATTGTCTCTTTTATGTTGCTTAGGGCAGATGTGTTTAGGTTAAAATGTGACACCTTCTCATTTGATCTTCCTTTTGACCAAATTTAAAGTTGTTTCAGTTTTTAATATTTTCTGCTTTCATTTCAGTTGAAGTTTTTCTGTTTTGCTCTCTTGTCCTTGTTGAGTTTTTTGTTTGTTGTTGCTTTTATTTAATTATTTGGTATGTTTTCCTGGGTGATCTCTCTCTCTATGTATTGCTAGTTCAGTGGGAGAATTCTTGCCCTCTATGGGGTTTCAATGCGTTGGAATTGACTCAATTCCAGTGAGCTACACAGGAAGCTTGGATTCTATTACTCGCAGACGTATAGCCATCAATCTCTGTCAATGGAGATTTGTATGTTTGCTATGATATTGAACAGGTTTCAGTGGAATTCCAGATTGAGATACACTAAGAAGAAAGAGTTAGAGATTAATTTCCAGACACTACCGAGTGAAAACCGTGTGGGCCACAATAATCCGATCTGCAACCAATTGCAGGAATGGCACCATCCTGCTCTGTTCCATTGGGCACAGTCACCACAAGACTGGGCTGACTGGGTGGCGGCCAACAGCACAACATGTGTCCCTTCTAGAAGGGGCATGTGTTATCCTAGAATGAGAACCACTATGAAACCCTCTTCATTTCTGAGTATATAGATGCCATTTTACTTTATCAGTCTCCTGTGTCAGATCCTATACTTCTGTCCTTTAAACTTCTAATGTTACTGGTTAAATCATAAGCCAGAAAGAAACGAGATTGGAAGTGTACTTCTGATCCTTTAGCTTAAAACCAAACAAATTAAAGAAGAAATCTCCCCAAAGCTTCAGTTTGAGGACGCAAAGGGAGGTCCCAGCATCCTGTTGATTGAAGATTGCAGGTCCCGCAGAACCTTTTTCCCCAGATCTCTTGAAAGATAAGCTATCGTTTCCATGACAATTTAGGCTGAACTTGACTTACATGATCTCAGCTTTTTGCCTCTGGTCCTACCGAGAAAAAAACAATTGCTGTCGCGTGAGTTCTAGCTCATGGAGATCCCATATTGGTCCCAGTAAAGACTGTGGCTTTTAATGGTTATGGTTCTGAAAATCTGAATATCTGGAAGTAGATAGCCAAGACAGGCCTTTCTTCCCCGGGCTTGTCTTCAAAGTCACCTCTGGGTGAGTCTGAACCATCAGCTTTTCATTTTGTAGTCAAAGCTCAAACTGCTTGTGTCACTCAGGATTCCTTGTAAGTACATCCCTGTCTTAAAAAGCTCTCTTTGTATGGGTGGTTTAGGCTGAATTAATAACGACATGTGTTAGCCTGGTTTGACTAAAGAAACAAATCAAGGGAGACTCATATGTGTGCAAGAGAGAACTTTATAACAAAGAGCAATTGTACACTTAGAAAACATCCCAACCCAGTCCAGGTTAAGTCCATAAATCCGATATTAGCCCGTATGTCTGATACCAATCTTTAAGTTTCTCTTCAAACTCACGCAACGCATGCAATGACACCGAGTGCAGGAAGATCATAGGCCAATGGGTAGAAGGTCTTGTGGATCCAGTGGTAGTATAAGCATCTCAGCACTGGTGTGGGTCTCCACATGGGTCCTTCAGCTCCAGGGTTCTAGTGTAGCTCCATGTGCCTTGTCATTGGGAATGCCAAGCAGAGAATCTGTGTGTCCCACCTCCAGCAAGCTATTTATCTCCATTGTGCCTCCAAATGAGGTCATCAAGCAGCAATCTGACTGACAGGCTAAACTCTACCCTTTCACTCCTAATAGTCTCAAGTTGGCATCAAATTATGTAACTGCCACACTACAGGAAGTCCAGAATTCTTAGATCACATTGAGATTCAGAAAGCTTCCCCAAACTTGGCTTAAACACAAGATCTAGAGAGTCCAGCATGTGAATGGGACTTCCAAATATAAATATTCCCTGTGAAAGCAAATATATATTCTGGAAAGATAGTAGTATTGATAATGGTGCTTAGCTTTGAAAGGCTCTGAATTGGGGAGCAGAGGAAGCATCAGGGGACTGCAGACAGGTAAAAATCAAGGTATCAGTAATTAGTCACATGGGGGAGTGAATAGATTCTCCCTCCACCCCTGCTGTGGTAGTTACACAATTTCATGTCAACTTGATAAAAGAATGAAGAGGTAGAATCTAGCCTGTCACTCAGGTCACAGCCTGATGATCCCTCATTGTGGGCGTGGCCTTCCCATGAGGATTCTGGGAACTTCCTCTCTTGATTCTCTATCAGAAGAGGTGGGCCACACTCTCTCTGCTTCACCTTCCTGTTGACAAGCCACATGGAGCCATGTTGATGGCAGCCAGAGCCCTTGAGATTCTTCCACCACCATTGGATCCATAGGACTTTCCACCCAACAGCTCATGATCTTCCTGCATTTGGCATCACTGCATGTGCTACGTGAATCTGAAGAGGGATTCATGGGATAATATTGGACTTATGGGCTAATATAAGACTTGATCTGGACTGGACTAGGATGTTTTATTGATGCATAATTACTTCTTGATATAAAGTTCCCTCTTACACACATATGAGTGTCTCTGGATTTGTATCTCTCCTCAACCCAGGCTAACACACTTGTCCTTCCCCAACCTAGGCAGGCCGCCAGTGGCTGTGAACTGGAGAAGTGCCCCCAGAAAAGGAACCTACTTCTCTCACCAAAACAGATAAAGGCAGGACTAAAATCAATAAGGCAGACTTCTCTGGGAATTTGTTTGGCATATGCCAGCACCTCTCCTACCCCAACACAGTTGGCTGAGCTGACTGCAGATTGCTACAGAAAACCTGTGCAGTGGAATCAACTGTCATCGTCAACACTCTCTGTGCCTCCCTGTACACCCCATAGTGCAGGACCCTGAACCAACAAAACAGACCTCAGGGGGAGTCAGCACTGGTCTGTCTGCTCCCCCATTCAGTCTGTGCTGAGGAATGCTGACGGACCGTGGCTGTTGTGTGCTAGGAAGCAATTCCTGAGTGGAAGTTGTACACATGGTCAGCAAATTACCAGGGGGACTCTGACAGCCACAAGGCATAGTCCATGGGGATCTGGCCAGAGCCTCACACCCTTTCTCCCGCCTTCTATATGGCAGATGTTGGTTGTCAGAAAAACTGCTACAGAGGTCCTTGCAATGGAGTCTGTCCCATGGCCAGCCATATAACTGCCTCTCCCTGTACTCCAAAGCCTAGGACTTGGAGACCAACAGGACAGATGCCTGGGAATCCATTGGATCAGTCTGCTCCTCCTTCCAGTCAGTGCTGAGGACTGTTGACTGAGGCTGGGATGAGAAAGGAAGCAGCCACCTTGAGTGGCGGATACACCTACAAGCAGCACACTATGGGGCAAGCGCTGAGAGCAGCAAGGCAGGGTCTGCTCAGATTGTGATGATCCCTCCCCCAACTGGTAACTGTCAGCAAGTTAATTGAGAGAAACTCCTAGAGAAGGCTCCCTACAGTGGGATCAGGAGGTGGGACCCCCTAAGTGCAGGCAGCTTCCCCAACCACCATAGGGCCCCTGGACATCTGAAACCAGTAAAACCGACCTCTTAGAGGTCCTTCTGAGGAATGCCAGCCCTTCTGAAAGGTAGGAAGTCTGCCCACACTGATCTTGAATGCTTATAGGGAAGGGCTGACTGAGTTTATTCAGCATAGTCCCTGCCTTCATAAATAATTCCTCCTGAAACACTTAACTGGGAACTATTGCCTCTTGTAGGCCATTTTATCTACAGAGTAGACTCATTACTTCTGCAGGGAGGCAGAGCTCACAATGCTCCTACCAACCAGACCCATGGGCAGTGACACCATCACTTACACCCATGTCCCTAAGGCCACTCCCCAAGGAGAATCCATGGAAGTGGCACTTTGTCTGCCATGGACCCAGGCTTTCCTCACTCACCTCAGGAAATTTCTTTTGCTGCACATATTCAGTGGTGGCAGAGTCAAAATATTTGGCATATCCCTCGTTGAGACTGTAAATCTTTCCTTTCTTCTTTATCTTGATGTCTTTTTCCACCAGGACAAATTCACCAAGAGCCTAGAAAGATGAAAAGAGATGCCAGGAGACAGGCCAACAATGCCCTTCACTGTAGTCAGAAACATCAGCAGATGTGGGTCTGCTGGCAGAACCCAAGGGATTGCCACAGTCATTCTGCAACATTCCTAATAAAGGTTTTATGGCTTGTCTACAGAACAGTACTAACCCTGAAAGAAGTGGGGACAGGACTGATGGTTTATAACATGTCTATGTCAGGACCAGTTAGGCTTGTGATGATCTGTCTGTCTATTTATTTATTTTATGTTTATCGATACAAGATTGTCAAGATAGGCAATCTTATGGAGACAGCAACTGGCCTGATGGTTCCTGGGGGCCGTGGGAAGGGGTGGGCAGAGGTGAGTGGAGAGCCAACAATGACGGGTATAGGAGAACAGTAAGTATTCTAAAATTGATGGCAAGGAAGGTTTAGCTTTTCTGGTTGTGTTTGATCAATCAAATTGTACCTGAGAGGAATTACTGATAGATGAATGATGGGCAAAGACAATAGTGGGGCAGGAGGAAAGAAAAATATATATAAACATAAATATATGTGTATTTGTTTATGTATATGTGTGTATACAATTGTATTTATTTGTATATATATACTTATATATGTATACAAATGGAACAAGGAAGCAGATGGACTTTGGGCCTCTACTTAAATC